TCCTTCCTTGCTCCCGGGCTCCCTGAGCTAGCATGGGAGTAGACTACAGCCATCTCGTTCCCGTTGCTCATCCCAGTTTGAATGTAAACACTTATTTGTGCAGTTAGTTCTTTCGTCAGAAACACCACCCAGAAACAACGTCGCCCATTGCTGATTCCTTGGGACTTTTCTTAATATCTGGCATAGATGAAGTACTTACTAAATGTTTCTTAGATGGATGGGTAAATGGGTAAGTGGGTAGATGGGTGAGTGGGCGGATGGATGAGTGTTTGCACGGGTGAGTAGGCGAATGAGTGGTTGGACGGATCTACTTTGTAGGGCTCTTGTAAGGATTAAATCAAAGAAAGCACATAATTTGTTAGTACTAATGTGCCCCCCAAAGGCTACTTGTTGTTTTTCTTCAGTGCTCAATTCCTCCATCTGTAAAGTGGGTTGGGGGGGTGGTTAGTACCATCTGAAATTCTTCTTTCTTTGGGTTTTCAGAGAGCTCAGGATGCCCCTACATCAGTTAGTAGGAAATACGTGCCCGGTCCCTCTCATTGCAACCCCTGCCCGCCTCAGAAAGCACAAGCGTTTCTTTCGGTCCTACGGCTGTGAGAGAAGCCGAAGGAAGGCCCAGGTAAGGGGGCTTTGGAATACAATGGGGTGAGGAGAGGACCCCAGATCCAGGCCTGTGTCCCGGGTCTCGGTCTTGCCTTCTTCCCTCTGGGTAGGTGATCTAATGCTTACGTACCATTGCAGGGAAGGCGGCAATCCTTTGCCTTCCTCGCTCCCTGGTTCCTGACCTTCTACTCCATGTTTAGGGAAGTGGGGTGTCCAGACCCCATTTCCTCGCTCCTCCCCAAGCTCCTTGTCCCATCTATTCCCCCATGGCATCACTCTCTCAACGGGCTCAGTCACCTTACCACCCCAACACGAACGAACAGCCCCATCATTTAGAAGAATCTCCCTCCAGTGACCCTAGGAAGTCTTGCAGTCAACCTCATGGATTTCTCTCAACAACCCTTCAAAGAAGATGAAGTGTGAAGTCCTAGATTTAAATTTCAGTGCTGAGCCCAGGTGGTTTCACAGTGCTAGTGCAGCTGGACTCAGAAAAGGCCTGGAAAAGGCCTAGGTTTGTGTCCCAGGGTCTCCCTGAGCACACGGGGTGCCCTTGGGTGTGTTCGTGATCCTGGCCCTCTGAGAGTGGGGAGAGACTGTGCTGCGAAGACCTTGCTAGGAATGCCTTTCTCTCATCTTCTTGCACATGGAAGAAATAAATCCTTTAAAAAAAAAATTCTAATTTTAGGGGCTAGCAGGTGGCATAGTGGTTAAGCCTCTGGGTTCCCACATGGCTGACCATGTTTTGAGTCCTGATTCTGAGGGCTTGGAAGTCACACTGGGCATGTGTGTGCATGCCCAAAATCCCTAGAGGAGAATGAAGGAGAAGGGACTGCAGTATGGCTGCCCCCCTGGGGGGTAATTTCTCACTTTCCGTTTCCCTGTCTCTCTGTAGGAGCACATACACGCTATGGCAAAAACAAAAACAACAACAAAAATTGCAATTTTGCTACTTATTTACTAGATGACTTAAAAAAAAATGACTTATCTGAACCCTGCACTCTTTGGGGCTATTGGAACTATTAAGCAGTAATTGTGGCTCAAGGGTTGTGAGGAGGGTTCAATCCAAGAATGAATACAGTGTTAGCGTCGGCCCTGCACCTCGTAAGCACCAATCAGTTGTAGCTCTTAGTATGGTTGCTGCTGTCCCAGATCTCGTCTCCAGCCATGTTTAGTCTGTCTGCTCTGAGGAGAACAGATTTAGGAGAAAATAAACCAAAGAACATCTGTGTCAAAGCCAAGGAGACATCTGGGAATGGTTTTCACAGTAGCATACTCCAAAAGAAGCCCAGAGAGAGGGCTTTCTAGAGTATGAGTGCTTTGCATTTTGATATGGATATGAATCCCCCAGTTGTCATTAACTAGTACACTTAAAAGTTGTGCATTTCATGCTATACAAATGCTACTTTAACAGAGAAGAGAATGTAAGTTCTCCACTGGAAAAAAAAATTTTTAACGTTTGCTGTATAAAAATAAAAATTAAGGGCCCAGGAGATGGCATGGTAGTTAAGGCACTGGATTCCCACATGGGTGACTGCAATGCGAGACCTGGACCCAGCTTGACGATCATGCTGGGTCTGGAGGAGAATGCAGGAGAAGGGATTAGCGATCCTAAGAAGCATGGCCATCCTTCCTCGGGTGTGATTTCTCACTTTCCCTCTCACTTTCTCTCTGTCTCTCTCTCCAGCAAGCACCCATGCCCTATGGCAAAAATACATAAATACATAAATAAAATAAAAAATTAAAAGACAAAATATGAAAACAAACAAAAATAAATATTGTTCCTATAAAAATGAAATGTGGTTTCAAAAAGTAGTAAGAATGATGAATTGTAATTAATGATAAGAATACTGAAATACATTTACAACTTACTTCAAAAATGCATGAAGGGACCAGCAGTTAGCCTAACGGCTATGTCGCTGGACTCCCACATAGTCGACCACGGTTTGCGTCCTGGACCCGGTGGCTTAAAACTCATGCCGGGCACGTGTGCGTGCGTGCCCAAGATCCCAAGAGGAGAATGGAGAAGGGATTGCGGAGTGACCATCCCCCCGGGTGGTGATTTCTCACTTTCTGTCTCTCTGTCTCTCTCTATCTGTCTGGCGAGCGCACGTGCTCTATAGCAAAAACCTCTCAAAAAAAGAAAAACACATGAAAAATAAGAAAGACTGTGGAATGAGGAAATAGACGAATTATAAATATAGACAAAAGTTAACCAATGTCGTATCTATGGAAGGAGTATATGGTGTTCACTGTGTGATTCTTTTGACTTTTCTGGAGGTTTGACTTTTTTTCATCATAAAATGAATGGATGGGGGGATTCTGGCTCCTTAATTTCATCTGAAGATAGAATATTCTCCATTCGAATACTGGGTAAAGACTGTTGTTTTCAGCACTAGAAAGAAAGTTTATTTGGCTCATAAACCTCATAAATCAAAGCAGATGCTGCAGGCACTATTAAATACAGCTCTGGAATCAGAGAGACCTGGGTTTCCACTCTAGACTGTCAGGGCCTCGCTGTGTGACACGGAATAATGCTCTTCACCTCTCTGAGCCTCAATTTCCTTACCTATAAAACAGATCAATCAACCTTACAGGATTAAATAGGATAATAAGTGAGACACTTTCACGTACGTTGAGAAGCTGTATTAAGAGTGCAACTGGGACTCAAATTGCCTGGGTTTGAATCCCAACTCTGCCCTGTCATTGTTGTGTGACTCTAACCAAGTTGCTCAACCCCTCTGCACCGAGTTACCTCATTTATAAATTGGTAATAGTTGAACTGTTGGGAAGATTAGATGAACTAAGCCAGGTAAAGGGCTTAGATTGTGCTTGGCACACAGTGGGTGTTCTTTAATGATTTAATGCCCATTAGGAACATCAGGGCTTAGCACACAGTAGGTGCTCAATAAATGGTGACCCTGGCGTGCTAGGCTCCTGGCAGCCTGGTGCATCACGTGGCACTCAAACCTTCCCAGTGTGTAGGGAGTGCGTGCAAGGGTGACATGGAAAAACTGAAGAGCAGTGATGGCCTGGGGGCAGGGCACTGGGAGCTGAGCAACGCATCAATTAGGGGCTCTTTATCTGCTGCTGAAAAGGCTCTGGCATCTGTTCTGGCCACATCAAAGCCATTGCTGGTCACAGAGTAATTAATCTGTGTACGATTCCCCTCCAGGCTGAGGGAACACAGTTTTGCACAGACAAACCAACACTTCCCTGAAAGCTAACAAACACTCGTCCTTCCCCACTGGTGTGTAAACAGAGCCAAGGGCTGCGCTTGCTCAGTAGGCTCTTAGCAGCACTTTAGCTGCCATGGAAACAGCCATGCAATAGCTACCGCTGTACCCCATCAGGCCAAATGGGGACGGGCTATGGGTGGGGCTGCTGCTGGCTCTGACAGCATCTTTGTGCAAGTCAGAAAAAGGCACCCACCCCTCCCTCTGGGCACATGCACAGTCCTCTGGGGTATGTGGAGTGACAGAGTGAGCATGGGCTGGTTTTCAGGCACCACTTTCCCTGTCGGCCACACCTGTGCAGGGCCCATCCACACATGGTGGCCTAATTACTAGGAGAAGAGGAGAAGGAGGTCTAGTCTAAAGGTGTGTCGTTGGCTCTCTAGGCTTCAAAAGGTGTGGAGAGCACGCTGTGGGCAGAGGTGTCTGGCAGGGGCTTTGGAGTCAGAGACCTGAAGGCAAATTTCACTGGTAGGTGTGTAATCATCGCAGTTCCCCAACACCTCTGTCTTCGTTCTCTCGTCTGTAAAGTAGGGAGGATGCTGCCCTGACCACTGGCCTCCTGCAGACTTCTCATCACTGAGATGAGTCTGGCAAAAGAACTGGTGCACGTGGTAAGTATATTCAGATATTGGAGCAATCCTTCAGGGACTCCTCTAGGCTGAGTGTCTTGACAAGGGATGTCTCCTGACCCCCACCCAAGTGTCATCCACCATGATACCTTGGTCAGGAGAAAAAGTTTTCACCAAGAAATTTTATAGGGGTCAGTAGGTGATGTGGTGGTTGGGGTGCTAAGCTCCCACATGGCTAACCACAGTTCAAGTCTCAGGCCTGGTGGCTGGCTTTTTCACTTTTCCTCTCTTTTTCTTTCTCTCTCTCTGGTGACTACATGTGCCCTATGGCAAATTTTAAAAAATAACAATAATGAAGTTAAATAAAGAATTCTTAAAATAGAGACATTTTATAAATGGCATGACTTCAGACAAGTCCCTTAATTGTTCTAAGTCTCAATTTCCCTTCTTGTAAAGTGGTCACAATGACTTTTCCCACCCTCTAGGGAAGCTGAGGGGATTCAGTAAGAAAACACTGAGTATGGCACAGCACAGGACCTCAAGAAACCCTAAGTACTATTGCTTCATCACCATCACCACCACCAGTATTACCATCATCACCATCACCACCAGTATTACCATCATCACCATCACCACCAGTACTACCATTCTCACCATCACCACCAGCAGCATTACCCATCACCATCACCACCACCAGTATTGTCATCATCACCATCACCACCACCATTAGTATTACCATCATCACCATCACCACCAGTACTACCATTCTCACCATCACCACCAGCAGCATTACCCATCACCATCACCACCACCAGTATTGTCATCATCACCATCACCACCACCATTATCAGCATTACCATCATCACCATCACCACCATCAGCATTACCATCATCACCATCACCACCATAGTCAGTGAATTAGTGATTTGGAAGACCAGATGGAGGAATTTACTAGAAAGAAGAAGGAACAATCATAAAATTTGGAAATGTCAAGGGCAGGATTTGAAACTCATGGATTCCAAAATTCACCACCACCAGCATTACCAACACCATCACCACCATCAGCATTACCCTCATCACCGTCACCACCATCAGCATTACCATCATCACCATCCCCACCACCAGCATTACCATTATCCCCATCACCACCACCAGCATTCCCCATGACCATCACCCCCACCAGCATTACCATTATCCCCATCACCACCACCAGCATTCCCCATGACCATCACCCCCACCAGCATTACCATTATCCCCATCACCACCACCAGCATTCCCCATGACCATCACCCCCACCAGCATTACCATTATCCCCATCACCACCACCAGCATTCCCCATGACCATCACCCCCACCAGCATTACCATTATCCCCATCACCACCACCAGCATTCCCCATGACCATCACCCCCACCAGCATTACCATTATCCCCATCACCACCACCAGCATTCCCCATGACCATCACCCCCACCAGCATTACCATTATCCCCATCACCACCACCAGCATTCCCCATGACCATCACCCCCACCAGCATTACCATTATCCCCATCACCACCACCAGCATTCCCCATGACCATCACCCCCACCAGCATTACCATTATCCCCATCACCACCACCAGCATTCCCCATGACCATCACCCCCACCAGCATTACCATTATCCCCATCACCACCACCAGCATTCCCCATGACCATCACCCCCACCAGCATTACCATTATCCCCATCACCACCACCAGCATTCCCCATGACCATCACCCCCACCAGCATTACCATTATCACCATCACCACCACTAGCATTACCATCAACACCATCCATCACCACCAGCAGCATGATTAGCACCACCATTGTCATTACCATCACCACCATAATCACCATCACTATCATTGGCAGTATCACTATCGTCAGTTACCATTCTCAACATCACCATAAACAGCAGCAGCACCACTATCACTATCATCAGAATCAGCATCACCATCATCACCACCATTACCATCATCATCATCACCATCATCATCTGATAGTCCCAAGAGACAGAAGAGGAGATAAAGTTTAAGTGTGGGTTTCACTCGCAAACAAAGAATAGAAGTGAAGAAGATGAGCGAGACACTGAAAGATAAGGAGAGAGAGAAGGAAGAACATAGGATTTACAGAGTTCTAATGGAATTGGAAAAGATCAGGTCAACAATCTACAGCTTGATTTTGCATATGGAGAAACTGAGGCCCAGAAAGAGGAAATGCCTTATGCAGGATCACACAGTCTGTGCTGGAGCCAGTGGGAGACCTGGGTCTTTTTTTTTTTTTTTCCACTCACTATAAGAAATGAGCCACCAGGGGTCTTCAGTGCAGGGGATAGAGATGGGGTCGTCAGAACCCTCTGCAGGGCATCCCCTTTGTTACCTGTCTGGGAACGCTAAGTCTAGCTAAGTTCCCCAGCCTTGAATTCTGCACTCCAACCCACATGGTAACCTTCTCGTTGTGGGCTTTATAGAAGGGACTGCCCAGGGCACAGTTGGGAGCGAGGCCATCAGGAGAGCACTGGAGTCCGCTGCAGGGAGGCTTGGCTTACCTTGGACCTGTGTCTGGTACACAATGAAGTAGCTGGGAGTCCCGCAGCTCTCAAACTCCTCTGCGCTGCACTTCTGGGCACAGAGTTGTTCATCCTCTCTCTCGTGGAGGGGAAATAGAGTGGTGGGAAACCCACAGTGGCAGGCATGAGATGCCAGTGGGTACTCCTGCAGATGGAAAGGAAGAGAGTCCGGAAGTCTCTGCACAGCCCTGAACCTCAATCTCAAGGGTCCCAAACTTCCTCAGTGAACTGTGCTTTCATAATTGTGCCCCATCCATGTACCTCTATCCTATTATTTATTTCCTTTAAGTCACTTTACTTCCGAGAGGTAAATTTCAAAGTAAACTTTGTATCACTTCCATTAGTAGAACTTGTGGGGAAGGAGCACTTGTCCAGATGTAAATGCAAATCCTACAGAAACAAAGCAATGTAATTGAGGTCTACCTAGGTGTTCTTGCCTGCCAAGATGCTGAGCCTGGAGTTGGCTCCATTTTTTTTTCTTGTTTCCCTGCAAAAGAGAGATTAGCTGAGGGTAGACACTTCAGTGCTGAGAGGAAACTTTCTCCTGGCGGACTTGAAAGAGAACTGAAAACAAAATGTGTCTCTCACTGGCATGCAATATATGACAGTAAATGCCCCCCTTTGGTCTGGCAGTGACACGGAGCCCACGCTGTGGAAAAGCTCCCTGAATCTGTTCTTTTAAGCCAGAGGATACTGTGTACACCTACGTGTATCCACAGTTTTGCTGGGAGAGCTGCTTCTGATTGCTTTATTTGTTAGATCAAACAGCTAAGGGGAAGCGGGATGCACCTGACATTTGGAGTACTATCCTTGTCTGATGTGTTTCTTTTTTCGTTTTGTTTTGTTTTTGCTTTATGGCACATGTGGTTGCTGGAGAGAGACAGAGAAAAAGGGAAACTGAGAAATCATCTCCCGGGGGAATGGTCATGCTGCAATCCCTTCTCCTCCATTCTTCTCTTAGGATTTTGGGCACATATGCCCAGCGTGTTTTCAAGCCACCAGGTCTGGGACTCGAACTGGACAGTCACCCATGTGGGATCCAGCCTCCTTAACCTCCATACCACCTGATGGTCTATCTAATATGTTTCTAAACCAGATCCTCAGTCTTAGATTCTCCATGGTAGCTGGTCCAGAAATAATCTGGTAACAAACCAAGGCCTCACCTGTGAATGGAGCCAGCAAGCATTAGCAGGAGTTTGGTTTCTTTCTAACAGACAATAAATATGAAGGGCAGCTCCCAGCTGAAGAGCAGAGAGGGGATGCTGACATACAGGTAGGTAGGCTGGGCCATGAGTATGACAGTTTCTAATTAGTGACACATATTAGAGCCACCCCAGATTTCAGATCCACTGTCACTGGGCACCAGCAGCTCTGGATCCCTGCACACTCAATCCCCTCACTTTCTCCTCTTTGGCCTCTAAGGAGATCAGAGGAAACAGGTAGAGGGAGGTTTGCAGAGGGGCCACCCTGGACACCCTCCATCTCTTTTCCAGTCGTGTGTATAGTTTGACTCTGTTACCCTGGATTGTCCTGTGACCTCAGTGTCTCCTGTGATCTGTTGGTTCTTCCAGGGCCCTCAAGTGAGGAATGTTTACCTGGAAGCGATTCCCTGTAGGTGGGGGGATTCCTGCCTTGGGGAGAAGGTAAAACCAAATGGTAGCCAATCCTCCTTTAATCTCATGAACTCCACCATCAGCTTTCTAGGAGGCCTCTTAGGAGCAGAGCATGCACTCAGAACACGCTTGGCAACTTCAAGTAGTCTGGCTGCCCTGGAGTGGCCCTTGCACACCTCTCTGTGGGGTTTCCAGAGAAGCTCAGTAGCTCAGACGTTCAGAGCATGGGCTCGAAGTCAGTTCTAAATGTCAGCAGCAGCTCTGCCCCTTGCTCATGCTATGGGCTTGGGCAAGTGACTTCACCTATTTGAGACTTGGTCTTCTCATCTGTGAAATGGGAATGAAAATTTCAAACCCATGTGAGGGGTAAACTGTGTGGCCCCTGGTGCAGACGGTTGTACTGAGGAGGTTCTTGGCAAGCAGCAGGCTCCGTGATGCTGCAGCCTGTGTGTGTTCTGGAGAGACACCTCACGGGTGAGAAGCCCAGTGAAGGAAACACACAAGCAAGAGAGCTCAGAGCACGTGGGGGCATCAGGAGTCGTGGCAAGGTCTGAGCACCCAGGAGGGGTCACAGGCAGGCCCTCAGCAAACGCCAGCATCCTTGACAGTAGAGACCGCACCTTGCTGACATCACAACCCCAGCACTAAGCGTGGGGCTTGGCACCTAGTAGGTCTTCATTAACCATTTGCAGAGTGAATGAATGAAATACCTAATCACTTTTTTTTTGTGGTGGGGGCGGGATGGTCCTCCTCCGGACAATCATGTAACTATTAGGTGGTCGGGAAATTCATGATGTATTTTTCTACACAAAAATGCATCATGAGTTTTCCAGCGACCCAATAGCTCGTGATGAGAGAAGGCTAGCGCTCCTTGGACATGGCTGAGCGCTAGTTATGTGCCCAGCTCTGTGATGGGTCCTGGGGTGGGGGCACAAGCAAATGTACCTGGCCCAGCTCCTCTCCTAGTTCACAGTCTGACTAAGGAGGAAGGACAAACAGTCTTCAAGGATCGTAGTCTGAGAAAGGAACCCATCGATCATTCAACCCAACTGTTATGCAGGGCCCTGAGTGTGGGACAGCACCTCTGCCTGCCTCTACTCCCCAGTGATGGGGAGCTCTCTCCATCCCAAGGTGAGACTGTCCTTGCCGTTTCCTGGCGATCTGCTTACACATACAGGCGCATTTCACATGTCACCCTCATCCCTGTGCATCCCTCACTATTACCACTCACTTCGTCAGAGGGAGAGAAATCTACCCGGTGGCTGGGAGCCCATGAGATGGTCACAGCCCTGTCCCTCATCACAGATCACAGACAAGGACCTCATCCACCCCAACTGAGTAGTTGCTTTTCCAGCCAAGCATCCTGTTCCTTCACCTTCCCCTCTTCCAGCCTCCGAGTTCTTTAGGCAGGACTCTGTCCTCACCTTCTCTGTGCAGAGGTCCACGCACTTGTCCACGGACATGTTTGGCATGGCGACTGTCACGGGCAAGGCCAGGGAGAGGTTGTCAGGCCTACGGAAGCAGCCTCGGAATACTGCACTTCCATCTGTGGAGATAGAGGGAAAAAGAGCAGTCAGGTCTAGGAGTCAGATCTAGATAGGAGAACCACCTTCTGAAGGAAGCTCTTGTAAGCTGGAGCTCAGAGAAGGCAAGAATCTTGCCTAAGGGTACATGGTGAGCCAAAATGGAGACAGAAAGAGCAGCCACATTTTCTGTTCTTGAATAGATCTGTTCCTAGCCAATAAGCTCAATAATTTGAAAAGTGGCTCTTCGGCTCTGACATCTTTGTCAACAGCCCAGCTCATTGAGATGACGTTCTTCCTGAGCCATGTTATCCTCCTTATCGGCCAGCATTCCGATGCCTCACTTGTTCATTCTCAAGGGTGGCAACCCCTCATTCAGGGAAATGATGCATTCCAAGGAGGACATGGGTGATCCTCCTTGGAAATGGAAGGGAACAAAGGGCCCTGGGCTGTCCTGTCCCCCGTCATTAATACCAGGACACTCCTCTCTCTCCCATTGTCCTGGGCTTTAGGAGAAAAGTCCTGGGCCTCGGAAGTCTCTACCTTCCCAGCACTGAGCACCTGCAGGCGGCAAGGGGCTGGTATGTTGGAGGAACTCCCTCTAAAGTCACTTAATCCAGAAATATCTCACATGAGAGAAAATTTGCACAATAGAAAATCTGGAGATGATGACTCTCCATTTAATAGAAGTCACCTCTTAAGAAATATTGAGAGATGGAGGACCAGCAATTGGCGTAATGGCTATGTCATTGGACTCCCATGTAGCCGACTGAGGTTTGAGTCCTGAACCTGGTGGCTTAAACTCACACCATACACTGTGTGTACATGGCCAAGATCCTGAGAGGAGAAAGGAGGAGAAGGGATTGCAGCATGGCCAACCCCCCTGGGGGGTGATTTCTCAGTTTCTGTCTCTCTGTCTTTCTGGCAAGTCCACACACCCTATAGCAAAAACCTCTCAAAAAAAAAAAAAGAAAAGAAAACAAATATTCAGAGATGTTATCCTAGGCCAAGGTAACTGGAAGCAGAGCCTGAGACAAGTGTGTTATTAAAGGCATGTTCTCAGAGAGGGAAGGAGGGAAGCAGGTGGCAAGGACAGAGAAGGAGCTAAGCCAGGAGGTGACCTCAGCTGGGTCCCGCCCTTAGCCTGATGCCACAGAAAGCTCTAGAAGAACAATTGCACCACAGAGTTGGCACCACCTTAAGGAAAGAGGGCTGGCCTTGACCTTACATGTCCCCACCTCCAAGGTCAGTCCATTCTTGGCTGGACTGGGGCATCTCTTTCTCAGAAAGGCTGCTTGATCCTGTTGTTTCAAGGCTAATTTTCAGAGATGAGCGGATATAGGAGTCTTTATCACCAACAGTCACTGCAGTAAAGGGGATGGCAGGCGCCCACAGCAGACTAGTGCACAAAGACTTATCAGTGAGGACGTTCAATGCAGTATTGTTAGACTTAGCAAGTGAAAGGTTAGAAACAATCTAGGTGTCCAACGAGGAGGTGTTGGGCAAATGGAAGACAACTCAATGGAATTTTGTGCCCCATTGAAAGTAATACCATTAAAGGTTATTTCAGCCAGATGCCAATATGTTCAAGACATAATGTTAAATCAAAACAGAATATAAAGCTCCACATATTATAAAATATCCATTTTGTAAAAAAGAAAAAATATTACCCACTAATATAAATCTCTAGAGGGACATACACCAACATGTAAATAACCAGGGTCTCTCTTTCTCTTTTTTTTTTTTTTTTTGAGAGAGACTTTTGCTATAGGGTGCATGTGCTCACTAGAGAGACAGAGACAGACCGAGAGACAGAAAGCAAGAAATCAAATCACCCCCCCAGGGGAAATGACCAAGCCACAATCCTTTCTCCTCTATTCTCTCAGTGATTTTGGACACGCATGCACATGTGCCCGGCATGAGCCTCTGGGTCCGGGTCAACTGCATGGGAGTCCAGCAATGTAACTATTACGACATCTGCTGGTCCCAATAATCAGTGTCTCTTGATAATGGGTGTAATGGATAGAGGGAGGTTACCTGAAAAATCTAAGGACCCACCTTTTAGCAAAACATACTGAGGCTCATCTCATTGAACAAAATGTTAGCCCTTAAAAAAAGCAAAGCAGGTTGGCAGATAGTGTGGTGATTAGGGTGCTGGACTCACATGGCTGACCACTGTTGGAGTTCCAGACTTAACAGCTTGCTTTCTCACTTTCTCTTTCTGTCCCTCTCTGTTCAAATTAAAATAATAATAAATAATAGTACTAAATAAAATCAGGTAAAAGAATTCTTTTTTTAAGAAAAGCGAAACAAGTTGCAAAAATCTTATGCCTCTGTCTTTATCAGTATCTGGCTCTACCTCAAATGTAAAACCACTTTTGAACATACGCACATATTGATGTGTGGAGAAGATAGGGCATTATTTGCTGAGCTGAAGGGTGGGGGGAGTGTTTCTGAATGACCATTTTAAGTTTCAGCACCAAAGGCACCCTAGTGATGACTTCTACCACCTGGCACCTGGCAGCCTGGAGTCGTTCACTGTCATGGCAAATCGAGCCAACTCAGGGCATCCGGATTATGGCCAAATGGCTAATGTCCAGAGCATGCTGCAAGCTCGCAGGGCCCTCCACTGCAGTCTCAACCTTCCCTGGCTCTGGCTCCAGCCCAGCGAGAGAGGTGGCAACAGTGGCAGTTAGGAAGCTGCTGATGTGCTGAGTGGTTCCTGCAGGCCTCAGTTTCTCCACATATACGTGGGGAGTAAGGGTTAGACTATCCAGTGACCTTCATACCTGTCACCCAAGGAACATTTGGAAAAGTGTGGGGCCACCTTAGATTGGCCCAGGAGTTTGGGCCCTATTGGTACTTGGAGGACTGGGGCCAGAGATGTACACGGACAGCCTTCCAGCCCCACCAAGTGTCACCAGCACCCTGTGGAGAAACACTGGACAGTCTCCTATCCTGCAGTCTGGGGTGCTCAGAGAGAGGCCCCATAAGATCATCCAGAGAAAGACTTGATGAGGCTGCGGGACAAGGAAACGTCTCTGTGCAGAAGTGTGCATCTGGCTGAAGTGAGCCCAAAGTGGACTTTGGATTCCCCTGCTATGAGGGGTCACCCTTTCTGTTAGGGGTCACCCTTGCATCCTCTTGCAGATATGACCTTGAGTAATTAAAGGCAGTAGGGCATCACCCAGGGTCGCATGAGCCCTCCTCCCCCCGCTGGGTGCCCATGCGTCAGGCTCAGGCTGCTGACAGACATATTAGCATGCATCTCCAGATGGCTCTGACCCAGGACCCCCAAAGAGGCCTTGAAATCTGATATCATGCCAGAAGGTCATGGCACTTCCCTGAACCCATAGACTCAGGACAAGTCACCCTGGCTGAGGAAAGAAAGACTAGTGACTAGGAGACGTGAGTTCTAGTCCCCATGCTGTTCCTTCTGTTTGCAATTCAGCATCTCCACTCATGAAATGGCCAACTCTCCTCCACGCAGCACCCACCATCAGCTCCACCCTTTCTTTGACCTTGGGCAAATTTCCTCTTGTGTGAGAACCTTGATGTTCTCATCTCTAAAATGGGGCCATGCATTTTGAGTGGATCATTCAGACATCGACATGAATGAGCTTCGTGAGCTGCGTGTACTGGGAAGGGGCAGGTCAAGTTCTGCCTTCTTGCCAGCTGTCCTTAGATGGAATGGAAGAGAAATGGCATTTCTCCATGTGACTTCCTCCAGCTTGTCTGGACAGCAGGAGGCCAGACTGCAAGAGTGGGAAGCGAAAGGAAGATTGTGTAGGCCCAGCTCTGCTGAGATGGGTCTTCCTTTGACATTTAAGCATCTGTTAATGAGTCCCTGACTCTCCCAGCTTAGGAAGAAGGGCTATACTGAATGCCCTGAATATCAAATAAGGTTTTCAGAGGCCTTAAAGGGCCAGAGACCAACCAGAAGCTGCTGTCGTGCATTTCTGTTTGGTCAAGGTGTGTGCTGGGTTGCTGGTGGCAGTTTGGGAAGTTAGCTCCAGGAATGGTTCATCTCCTGGATGGAGGGTCTTCCTCTGGTCTGGCACATTCTGCTGTGGGGAAACCACATCACAGAGGGCTTCCTGATGACTGGTGGGAAAGTTGAAGAAAATGGTTTAGCTGGACTCTCAAGGATCTGGAGCAAGCTCTGGAGGCCCTCTTTCTGTAGATGGCTCTCCACTATGTCTTGGTGACCTGGGCACTGAGAATATGCATGGTGACCAAGACATTTAGCCTCCTCACCCCCCTCATTTTTTCCCTCTATTACATGGGCACCTGGTTCTCCCTTTCAATGAGTGAATCTTTCGTCTCTTATGTCTGAAACGAAAGGGAAGTGGCCGATAGAACTGACCTTCCTGGAGCTCTCCTGTGGATTTGCACAGCAAGGAGATGCTTTCCCGTTAGGGAAATGTCCAGCAGAAAGGTCACTGATAGACCTGGGTCAGACCTTAGCTGTCTGCCCCCGGGCAGGTGTGCTCACTTCACTGAGCCTCCGTTTTCCTCACCTGTAAATGAGCGTCAGCACATCTGCCCTGCACAGTCGGGGCAGGGGTTTATGTGATGGCAACTGTAACAGTGTCAGAGACCTAACGAGTAGCAGCCCATGTCCCTTCCTGTCCCTTCTCCATCATTCATCCACAACCTGTGAAGGGTGGCTAGGTCCTTTGGAGTGGATGTTGCCAGTGCCCCTCAAACACCTGCCCCTGGCGCTCACCATGCCGGTATAGACTGGTTATGACCATCGCCCTCTCCCTTGAGCCTGTGAGGAACCGACTGGACCTGCCAGGGCGTTACTCTCCCCACCTTCAGTCAATGGTGAGTGAGAGTTGGAGGAGAAAGACAGCAGCTTCCCGCCCCTCAGGTGAGGCACCTCTGAAACACATTCTACGCCACCTCCCAGAAATCCCCAGTGGGTTAAGCTTCAGTGGTCCTCAGTGGTGACTTGCTGTGGAAGAAGCCTGTGCTGTCTTCCCTCTCCTGCCAGTCTTACTCCTTACTCCCCTCCAGG